ACTAAAATTGTCTTTCTTGAGATTTCTATACTTATATAAAGGCAATATTCTACTTGGCCCAGCTATCCACACAAGAGAAATAAAATACTATTCTAAAGATTACATTAGGTATCACGCATCCAATTAAATTAAACATATTTTCACTTTGACTTCAATTAATAATCCATCCTTATCTTTATCTTGGTTTATTTCCCGACGTGCGACAATGAATAAGCATAGATCTATGTATATGCCATAGATTATGGAATGTTGGCACATTGTCTATGCGAACGGAACTGCGGGCTTTGTTACTTATTGTCTATGCTATGCGGCAAAGGGCAAAGCTTCCTATGTGAAACGATAGAAGAAATACTACCTATATATTTTTTTTGCATTCAAGATAGTTCGACCAGAGCGCGTTGCAGGCTCAAGTTGTTTTAATATCTATTAGAACGCAGCGGAGAAAAACACAGTGGAGAAGCTACAAGATATATAATATATGAGAGTTATAAATAAAGAAACAAGCCATATGACACGAGTAGATAAGGGAGAAGAAGAGTGTCAAACAAACTGACAGACTAACGCATAAAAATATAAATATTTATAAATTTAAAAACACGCCTAAAAGTGCCAGTGTGTTTATATTAAAAAGTTATAAAAAAAGGTTTGGCCGAATAATATCTTCTTAATTTTTACTTAAAATTTCTTTAATTGTACAAGTGTTTTAAAACAACCGAACTACGTTTTTTTTTAATAATTTCGATTGTCTCACCACGATAATGTATCATTCCAACATAAAATTTATCATGATATTTGATTTTGACATACTGTTCCTTGTTTTTTATATTTTTAATTGTATGATGGCGTGCTGGCGTTTTTAAATCAACTGTAAGCAGGTCAGTATGTTTAAAAATAAATATATAACAATTTTGTTTATTTTTATTTTATTTAAAGCATTTAACTGCTTCATGTTTAAATCTAAAGAAAATTGAGTGCAGGTTAGCGGAGGCTGCAGGTTTGAGTCCCGTCTGCAGCCTGGACTGCCATCATTGAGTAACATGTTTTTACGGAAGATTAATATTAATCTATGTAAATAAATATATAGGTAATCTTATATATAAAATTCTCGTGTCACGGTGTGCGTAATTGAACTACTCCGAAACGGCTCGACCGATTTTTGTGAAATTTTATATGCATATTTAGTAGGTCTGAGAATCTGCCCACATATTTTTTTCATCCCCCTAAATGTTAAGGGTGGTCCACGCTATTTTTTTTATTGACATAATTTTTTCATACAAAATGCATACAACCCTAAATTTTCACCCTTCTACCACCCATATTTATATGGCGATACAAAGTTCGCTGACTCAGCTAGTAGATTTATAGATAAATGAATTGTTCATATTATTTTATTCCATTTAGAATTAGACCACTCCCAAGGATCTAGTTAGTATCTGTTAACACACGACTTGTTGTTATCAATGTCATTTCAATTTACATAAACGATTTCCATAATTATTAATGGCTGTATTTGGAGACTCTGCTCATTCTCTATTAAACTAGTTTTAATCGAAAGCCAATGATATTGCAAACCAAAGAGAAACTCAACTTTCGCCTTTAATTTAATAGTTGGAAATAACATAGGAAGCCTTTAAAATCTTGATATACGTATCTGTGACACATTATCATGGTTTTACTGATGAAGAACAAATCTTTTCTGTTTCATTAACCCTTATGGAATCGTCATGTCTATCTGTACGTTCGTTTAACACAGCCACTTTTATCCGAAACTATAAGAACTAAATTGTTGAAACTTGGTAAGTAGATACGTATTCTGTGAACCGCATTAAGATTTATAAATTTTGGGGGTTCCCCATACTTAGAACTGAAACTCAAATTAGTAGCTATGGATAGGTCTTCAAAAATGATATTTATATTTTTTTCACCCCCCCCCCCCCCCTTTAACTTCGAAAATAGGAGAATGATGAAATTAAAAAAATATATGATGCAAACTTCCAGCCAAAATTGGTTTGAACGAGATCTAGTAAGTAGTCTTTTTTTAATACGTCATAAATAGTAAACCGCAATTTACCTTTAAAAAAATACACTAAATACAAAAATTATTAACGAAAGTTACAATGAACTACAAGAACTTTTATATTATGTTACTTGCTGCTACGGAACCCTTAATGGGCGAGTCCGACTCGCACTTGGCCGCTTTTTTACTGTACCATTTTTAACGCAAGCACGCTACGAGTGTCATTAGAGTCGCGCGCACACAAAAACGCTGTAAGCCCCGAAATACATCTTAAAGGGCGCGGTTCTGTAAAGGCGTATCATTGAACCTCGTATAAACGTGACATTTTTATCTGAAAGAAAAGAATTGGTGCGTATTAAATTTGAAACATCTCGAGAGTTACTCGCTCACTGACCCCGTTTGAGATCAAGGGCAGAGTGATGCTTTTAAATAAATCTAACAACGCTTAAGGTACATTTTTCAAGGACCTCTTTCATCAATTGAAAAAAAGTAAGGCTGGCTTCGATGCGTGCATCTGTCGAAAAAACGTTTTTCTGTTTTTTATAATAAAAAAAACTATAAATAAAAATTAAAAGAGTTAACTGCCCTACACGTGATGTCAAACGGTGGTGTAGTGCAGCCGCAAAGATAGCTGGTGCGGCAGTTTGTCCTGCCACACGACTACAATTTTTTTTTGTAAATAGGTCTGACAAATGTCTCCATCCTACCTGATGTTCAATACCGGTAGAGACAAGCCATTCTCGCCTTGCTGGCCTGCAAGTTGCTTCTTCTAGCCTCTACTAGAGGAAAAAAAAGCACTTGCCTACCAACCCAAATGACACAATTTTTCTTCTGCTTCTCAAGTGAGCAAGGTTGATTGAAGTTGCCAGTACACAATATAGCGTTACGATCGGTACAATAAAATTACCGGTTTATTTTCACATTTCGCGGGTTCGGCTCCCGGTACAAACGGTTTTTAAGTATTTTGGACGATAAATTTTTTTGTTAAAAGGTTTTTTTTTTTATTTTATCATCTTTATGGCTATAATTTTTGCATATTTAAAAACAATCACCCCTGTTTTCCCACCCTTAGGGGTACGATTTTTGTTTCTAAATGTATCTGGGACCAACTTCGAAGTATACCTTATCCGGTAAAAAAAGAATCGTCACAATCGGACAACTCTGTAAAGAGTAATGCGTGGTAATACATTACAATCTGTGAGTGACCAATCAGTCATACCCGGTTAAAGGGTTGGTTTTGCTTTTCAAATTTGAATGGGACCAGACTCAAAGGATACTCTATCCAATGAAAAAAGAATTTTCAATATCAAACTACTATGTAAAAAGTTATGCGTGATAATAAAATAAACATACGCGTCGACTAACGAACCTCCTTCGTTTTATTTTGTCGGTTAAAAATTGAGTTTTCATTATAGGCCTAATAATAATTTAAAGGGTTCGAAATATCTTCTTCTGATGTTTCGTGTTATACATATAGATAAATGTATTAATAGAAAATACAGATTTCAATCTTATTGTGTACAGAACTTGATAAGTAATATCTTATTACACACAAGCGCGTGTATACATTACTCCATATCTTGACATTATGCATTGATTTAATAGAGAACAATCGTTACTTTTGTTTACAAAATATAACTGTACTAGCTGTGCCCCGTGCTGTTACCCTCGCTTTATGAGGGATATTTTCCCCAGTAAAACGTTGCCTATGTGTTAATCCAGGGTGTCAGCTAACTCCATACCAAATTTTATTAAAATCGCTCCAGCCGTTTAGACGGGAAGAACTAACAAACACACACACACTCACAAACTTTCGACTTTATAATATTAGTGTGATTAAATAACTCTACATCATCTTATTAGGAGTTATTGGGATGTAAAAGGGAAGTTGTTGGTATTTATTGGGTGAGTATGCTGTTGGTTGCAGATGACTTTTACAGCGTCACGGGGTTTGGGTATGGCGAACTTCTTAAGGGACCTCAAGTACTCCTTTCCCGCGGTTTCAACCGACATGCATTGGGGGGACTGATCAGAATACGATGGTAAAGGGCCACCATAGCCTACAGACGCTTGCGATACCAGAAATATCACTCTCACCCATGCTTACCCTGACCCAATCACCTAACCTGTGGAGCCCTGGAACCTGACTCACCGACAGAAACACAGCACCATCAAAAGATAGTGATTTTCTGTGTGGTGAAGGTTAATCCATTCGGGCGCTTCAATTCGAGCGGAAAATCTGCCTATTTAAAATAGCAGTTGCTTTAACAGACGAAAAATATAGAGTTCACTAAATTAGGTAATGTTAAAGAAATAATGAAGAAAAATGCTATAAGTAATTATTATGGAATCTTTTCACTTGCGCGCCTTCCGCAAACATAATATTTCACCAGTTCAGTATGTAACACCAAGCCGAAATAATAAACAAACGTGCTATTAACGAACTCTTATGCAATTATATCCATCCATATATAGACATAAGGAATTATTCATTTGCTTTTTTCCTATTCGCAAGAAAAGATTAATAAATTACCGGACCAATGAACACTTCCTATCGAACTAGTGAAATGTGAAGTCAGTTTCTAGTTTTGCTAAACACAAATATGTAATCGAGGTTGATAAACTGATTTTCACTTTCGCGCCAAATAATTTTATTTATTGGTTTGTTTTTTTTTTAATAGAAAAATATCAAGCACTTAAAGGTACTAAAGTTTAAACTGCATACTTATATTTTTAAATTTCAAAAACGAAATAAAAATAAAAACATCGAAAATCTTTGAAAACTCACACACACTTTTATCAATGAAGCATCAAAAAAACACTCAACTCTCCTCAAAGTCAAGAAAAAAAAACACTTATATTCTAAATTCAAAATAAAAGAAAACAACACAATATTAGAGAAAAAAAAAACATTTGACACTTCATCGAACGCCATGCGTGTATAAGTGCGCAAAAAAACTAGTTAAGCTTATTTATTACTCACGTCAACGAGCGGCGTGCAAGTTTGCGTACGATTGGTTCGGAGCGTGACTGCATCGCGGTTTTATGCGCGCTCGCGTAGTCTCGCGCGCACATACACAGGGTGCACCAAAAACGACGCGCACTTTTCCTGTTACCGTACCGTGTACTGCGTAGTGGGAATCGAAATGTGCCACTGAATACTAACGATATCGTTACTATATCAATCATTATTTTAAAAAAATGCGATTGTCCATATAACGTAGTGTAGAGTTGAATAAAAATAATCATGTAGTAATGATCATTTGAAATCTAGGACAATAATAGATATACCGTGCGCAGTTTTGGTCTGCCATCAGGTGCGTCTCCCGGGTCAGATGGGAGTACCGGCTTCAGCCGTAAAACCAATAGGACCACGCGCGCTGGCCTACGTTATCACCGACCTACACGAACAAAGGGTTACTCATTTCTTTGTCGTGCTGTTCGTAAGTGGAATTCTTTGCCCGCGCACGTGTTCTCTCCTTCCTATAATCTGGGGTCCCTCTCGTCGAGAGAGGGATCCCAGATTATAGGCGTGACTCATTTCTTTATCGTACTATTCGTAAGTGGATTTTTTTGCCCGTGCACGTGTTCCCTTCCTCCTACAATCTGGGGTCCTTTAAGAGAGGCGTGAAAAAGCATTTTTGCAGTCCAGCAAGGTGAGAATGGCTGGTGTGGCAGTTTATAACTGCCTTACCAGCTATCTTCGCATTTGGGCTTTATCACCACTTAACATTAGGTGGGGTAGAGACATTGCCTACCTGGCTATATATATATATATATATATATATAAAACCCGTAACTCCGTACGTGGTGCAGGGCCGAGGGCCGCCATCCTCTTCTGAGGGTGGGGGCTGCGAGGAAATTCTCTTTAAAAAAATCCCTATCTCGGCTGGCGTCCTGGGAATCCCGGGTAGTGACAGTCGCGGCATTTGTGGCGGGATTGGCAAATCCCGTTGTGGTGGTGTGTCCATTTGCGGGTTGTGATGCGAATTTCGTGTCACTTCGCATGTGCTGCGGAACCGGGTGCCGCTACAGTGAAATCATAATTTGAAACCTAGGACAATAATAGACGAAGTATTAGTTATTGGCAACATAGTTATTATCCAGTGATTCTCATAGGGTGCGCCAAAACGATGCGCACTTTTCCTGTTACCGTACCGAGTACTGCGTTCTGGGAATCAAAATGTGCCTCTCTCTGAATTCTAATGATTTTCGAATGTTTTACAAAATACAAGTTTTTATTGGTTTTGTGAATATGGTTCAGAGCAGTATTTTTCTAACGTACTAATAAAACTCGAAAATTTCCTTTACAGTAGATTTTAGTGGAACGACGGGTTTATATCTTGATTTATTTAAAAGTTGTTAATACCTCCATTATATACCTGTAATCACAATTAAATTTTGCTTTCTAAAGTACGAAAAATAAAATAGTAATTTGATTCGCCTAAAGAACAAAACAATAAAACATAATATACCCTTTATAAAGTGTTATTTTAAATAAAGCTAGCGGTGAATGAAGAAATATAAAACAACAAATACTTAGGTACATAAAATAAAAGTTTATGCAAAATCGCTAAGTATAACGCCGATGGATTCAAAAGTTTTTTATAAAGCTTCAAGATACACCTATTCTACTCCATCCCAAACTTAACTATTTTTAATTAACTCTAAAATCACGAGCACTCTGTATATCATTGATCGATGATGGTGCACAATAACCGAAAAGTGCACTATATCAAACAATGAGATCGACTGTGGGTCGAACAACGGTCCGTAAACCAGTATGCAGGGAGGCGACACAAATTCTTTAATACCATTTCATTTGCACTCACAGAAATTAAAAAATGTCCCGTTCCGGAGAGCAAGCAAGGTTTTTTTTATATTTTATTAATGTTTATTTACTTTTTTACTGCGACGCTGCCTGGGCGAAGAGCCCAATAAAAACGTGGACATCGCGAGTGAATTACTCCGCAAACCCTCTTCGCAACAGGACTCCGCTTTCAAATAACACTTAACCACTATGAAACACATAGTGAACTTCAGGTCGATTTTAACATTTGAAGTTCTAATTTTAGGGTTTTCAATAGGGATGATGACTAATTTTTTTTTCTTCGTTTATCAGGCAGATTATCAAAAAGTATTGGACACGTATTTTTTCTTTTTCCACATAATTTAAACATTGCAGAGATATATTAATTTGAAAAGTCGCATGACGTCACGTTTGAGTACACTTTTAAGTGAAAATTCACTAAAAAGTGACGTCACGAGCCCCTACTCCCAAACTTTGACGCGCTACAACTTTGTCATTTTTTGGTTGATTGCCCAAAGATAAAATACTTGTCCATTATTTTTTGATCATCTAACTGACGGACTAAATAGAATTTCGTTTCCTGTATCCCGTCATCACACCTATTGGATTAGCAGTTACAGTGGCAATGGTAATAGCACAGATACAACCCGCTGATGAACAGAAAGTCTACTTCAGAGTAGAGAGATAGAGCATATCGGATTTTCCGCCCGAATTGGAGCGCCCGTCTGGGGAAGTAAGCTCCACATAACAGAAGATTACAGTAAAATAAAACTAACTTTTGGTGGTGTCGTATTTCTGTCCGTGAGTGAGGTTCCGGGGTTTAAAGGGGTAGGGGATGCGGTCAGGGAAGGGAATGGTGCAATATTAACTCTGGTGAGGCAAACGTCTATAGGTCATAGGGACGGCTTTCCATCAGGCGGTATATATATATTTTTTATATTGTCAGGTAGGCTTATGACCCTACCCCACCTGATGTTAAGTGGTGATAAAGTCCAAACGCGAAAACAGCTGGTACAGCAGTTATAAACTGCCACACCAACCATCCTAACCTTGCCGGCCCGCAAAAATTGTTTTTCACGCCTCTCTTAAAGGACCCCAGATTGTAAGAGGAAGGGAACACGTGCGCGGGCAAAGAATCCCACTTACGAATAGTACGACAAAGAAATGAGTCACCAAATTTCTTTGTTCGTGTAGGAATAGTGGCCGCAGTAAGTCGTCAACGTAGGCCAGCGGGCGTGGTCCTCTGAAGAAAAGGTGATGGAGGGATAAGGGAGAATAACTAACTTCTCAGAACACTCGCCGTGGTATAGTCGGAAGAATGCGTTTAATGATGTCACATCGCATTATATTATGTTTTTGCTCATAAAAATCGATTCCTTTAGATGGATTCAAACCGGAAAATCAACCAAAAGTCTAATTAAATGAAGTGAAGTGATTGCTTATCGTTGTATTATTCTTAACAGGAGGTGCTCAATGGCGCGGGTGGATAGCGCGTTCGGCCTGCGATCGTGTAAGTTAAGCAGCTTTCGTAATGGTCAGTCAATGGATGGGTGACCAAAAACTTATTATCTCAGAGTCCTCCATGCTTCGGAAGATACGTTAAGCTGTTGGTCCCAGCTGCATCTGCAGTTATTAACACCCACCAATCCGCACTGTGCTCGCGTGGTGGGTCGTGGCCCAATTTCCCTATTCCATCCATAAGAAAGGCCTGTGCCCCAGCAGTGGGTACATTAATAGGCTGGTGATGATGATGTTGATGATTCTTAGCAGCTCATCTATAACTCACTTTGCTGCCAATAAGCAATTCTGTGCAGCTAGAAAACAATATGTTAAGCGTTCCAGAAACTAGGTAATTCATGAGGTCTGGGAATCAAAGAACAACATTCTAAGTACGCGCCAACCACATTTTTTTCCGTGATAAAATAAAAAGCTTATGAACAGACGGATAGGGTATTCGGAAGTAGGTGTTGGCTATGGGTTGACAGCTGTTTCTAGACAATATTTTGAAAAAGTATATTCATGTTTAAAGGTAGTATTATTTTACCTATAGCCTTCCGTAAAGTGAAGGCACTTCCATAAAAGACGGCGCTGAAATTTGAGTGGCAATATGAAATCCGCTTTTCGCTATCCCTCCTAACTTAAAGGAACGCTTAAAGATTATTATATGATGTTTTGAAAAGACACGAAGGCGTGAAGCTATGTGTATATGTGTTATATCTTTTACCGCATTTTGTATTAAAAGTTGAAAATATTTTAGGGGAAGAGGCAGTCCTCTCGTTACGGCTGCTTGCTTTTTTATGATGAGAGTAAACGAATTACTCGTGAAAACACCGGGAGCCTCGCAGATTATGTTTCATGATAGAAACAGTTAATGAAGTTACCTATAACATTGTGTTAAAAAAACTGGTATCGCGGATAAACTTTGGGCGCTGGTAAGAAAATGAAATCTTGTTTCGTGTAATGTAATTTTTAGTTATTGAAAAAAGTATTCTTTGCACTTTGTACGGTGTAGTCTCTATTTTTAAGTTATTATGTTTTATTTGCAAAAAAATCGAAGATACATGTAGGATGTAATGTCTATTCTACTAATATTATAAATATGCGAGTTTGTATATTTGTTACTCAATCGCGCAAAAACTACTTAACGGATTTTGATGAAATTTGATACGCATATAGTTATCTGGATTGAAAAATAGGATACTTTATATCCCGGAAAAATGTTAGGTTTCTGAGGGATTCTCAAGAAACAAAATAAAGTTGCGGGCGGCCTCTACTTAATTTATAAGAGAGGTAGGGCATAGAGCATTTTCCGCTGTAATTGGAGCACCCGCCTGGATAAGTGATCATCACCTTACAGGCGACACAGTAAAATAACAATATCTTCGAGTGGTGTTGTTTCTGTCGCCAAGTAAGGTTCCAGGGATCCGTGGGGTGGAGTATGAGGTTCAGGTTGACAAGGTGAAGATGGCTGGAGCTTAACATTTTCTACCGCAACAGCAAATTGCGACTGGTTATTAAGGTTCGAGTGACCTACGCGGAAGAATCCCTAACGGCGATCCCGCGGTTTCGCACTAAGCAGTTAAGAGGGTATTCGCAAGGTTTTTAACCGGATATTAGGCCGTAAAGCGGTCGTAAGAGTTACGGGGTCCTCAGTGGGCAGCCACTGCGGGGGCTCGTAAGGCTTGCAGGAGCCAGATGTGAGGTCCGTTCGGCAGTGTACCTCTTAAAGGCGCCGTTGTCTGTAAATAAAGGTTTTGATGCACGAAAAAAAAGAAAAAAAGGTTCAAGTGACCTAGATCCT